AAAAAAACTTGGAATCTTTTCCTGGTGCTCTTCATTGTGACTTGTTTTACGTTTTATCAGTTCACCTTACTGACTTATTTTTCAACAGTCTTGCTGAACAGTAAATTACATACCATAAAATTCATGTACATTGTAAATCACAGCTAGTTGATTTTTGGTAAATTCCCAGAGTTGTGCATCCATCACCAAATCTATGTTTGGAAGATCTCCATTACCCCTAAAGCACTTTCCTCATTCCTGTTTCCATTCCCAGCCCCAGGCAGTCACTGACTTGTTTTCTGCATTTATAATTTTTTTCTACATTTCATATAAATGGAACTATACAATGTACATTTTGTTTGTCTTCCTTCATTTGCATAATGTGTTTGAGTTTTATCTTTTTGTATCAGATATTGATGCTTTTAAAAATTATTAGTGCATTTTAACTATACAGAATAACAGAGTTCATTGTGGCCTGCATCGATTCTTAATGCATTTTTATTGCTGAATATTGTTCTGTTTGGTAGAAAAGAGGCATTTATTTATCTAGACACCAGCTCATGAACCTTAGCTTGGTCCCAGTCATTGCCATCATGAGTTCTTTGTGTGAATGTAGGTTTTTGTTTCTTTTGGGTCTATTCCTAAGGGTGTCACTGCAGGGTCATATGATAATTTGTTTAGCTTTAAAGAAACTGTAAACTGTTTTCCAGTGTTTGTATTGCTTTACATCCCACCAGTAATGTATGAAGTTCTCGTGTCTCTCCATCCCTGCCAACATCAGTGTTTTCATGATTGCAGTCCTTCTAATGGGGGAAGGTGGTATTGATTGACATTTCCATGATTAATCAAGTTTATCATTTTTATGTTAGTTATTGGCTAGTTGTATGCCTTCTTATAATCTAATCATTTGTTTATTTTAAAATTAAGTAATTTATCTTCTTCATGTATTATTGAATCAAAGACATTTTTATATACTTTGGCTATAAGTCCTTTATCAAATCTATGATATATAAATATTTCTTCACAGTCTGTGTTTCTTTTAGTTTTAATATTAAATTAAATTAAAACTTTAAATTAAATTAAATGTTATTTTTCATATTATTTAAAAATATAAATAATTTTTTATTTATAATAATAATAATAATAGTTTTTAAAGATATAATTTTTATGTTAGTTATTGGCCACTTGTATGCCTTCTTATATTATTTAATATAATATAATTATATAATCATTTGCTTATTTTAAAATTAAGTAGTTTGTCTTCTTCCTATATTATTGAATTAAAGATATTTTATATATTTTGGCTATAAGTCCTTTATCAAATCTATGAGGTATAGATATTTCTTTGTTTTTTTTAAATAAAATCTAATTTAATTTAATTTTTTTTTAAATTTTATTTTTTTTGGTGGTGCTAGGATTGAACCCAGGGCCTTGTGCATGAAGACAAGCACTCTACCAATTGAGCTACAACCCCAGCCCCCTAATTTAATTTAATGTTAACATTAAATTAAAATTTTAAATTAAATTAAATGTCATTTTTATATTGTTTAAAAATATAACAGTTTTTAAAAATATAATTTACATATCACATAATTTCTACATTTAAAGTGCACAATTCAGTGGTTTTGGTACATTCACAGAGTCATGCAGTAGACATATTTGTTATCTAATTTTAAAACATTTCTAACCCTCCATAAAGAAACTCCATATCCACTAACCATGATTCCCAGTTCCCCCCTGCTTCAACTCATGGAAATCATGATTCCATTGTCCATTTCTCTGGATTTGCCTATTCTGGACATGTTATATTAATGTCATAATTTTTTATTTAGCACAATACATTCAAAGTCAATCTAAGATGTAGTATGACTTAATATGTCATTCTATTTTAATTTTTTAATTTTTAGATGTTGATGGACCTTTACTTTATTCATTTATCTATATATGGTGCTGAGAATGGAACCCAGTGCCTCACACTTGCTGGACAAGTGCTCTACCACTGAGGCACATCTCCATCCCAGTATGTCTTTTTTTACTGTTGCTAATAATACATTGTGCAGATATGTCAGATTGTGTGTATTTGATCATCAGTTAATAAACATTTGTGTTTGACTTTTTGGCTCTTAAGAATAATACTGCTAAGATTACTTTATGTATAACTTTTTGTAAGAATGTCTACACTTGGGAGTGGAATTGCTGGGTAATAGGGTATTTTTATGTGTTTCATTTTGAGGAGCTGCTAAATTGCTTCCAGTGTAGCTGCAACATTTTACAACCCCAGGGCAATGTGTCAACACTCCATTTTTTCTGCATATTTTTCTCCCTTCCCTTCCGCTTTGCCCTCCCCTTCCCTTACTTCTCCTTCCCTCCCCTCTTCTCTCATCCCTTTCCCTTCTCTCCCCCTCCCCCAACCCCTGCTCTGGAGAGATTTATTAAATTTGTAAACTAACTTAGGGCGATCAGATGCATTTCTGGTTTTGAGTTTTTCTGTCCTGGAGCATAGTATGTCTCTTTATCTGTGTCTACTTTTATGTCTTTCAGGAATGTTTTCTAATTTTTCTCATAAAGCTTTTGGATGTTCCTTTTGAGCCTATACCTGGGTATTTTTTTCCTTTTGACTATCATAAATGGCATCTTCCATTTCTATGTACAGTTAACTGAATAATGAATTTATTTTATGGTTGATTCCAGATCTTTGTTGATGATTTTGATGATTAAATTTCTGATCTCTTGTGGGCTGAAGATTTGGAATTCATGGAAAGCTGTCAAGGTGAGATCTGAAAACCTTCTCCAGTCTGTTGCTAGTGTGACTACCCAGAACCCCAGCACCTTGGTCCCAAGCAGCCTGATTACTACAAAGAATGGAGTGTTTTGAAAGATAGCTTTTCCATGCATTAGGAAGGTGTGTAAACAAAGCCTGGTGGCACACACCTGTAATCCCAGTGAGTGGGGAGGGTGAGGAAGTAGGATTACAGGATTGAAGACAGTGCCAGCAACTTAACAAAGTTCTGTCTCAAACACACAAACAAAAAATAACAAAAAAGAGGACTGAGGATGAAGTTCAGGGGTAAAGCACCCCTGAGTTGAAACCCCAGTACCAAAATGAACCAGAAGGGGTTTGCAATCTGCTCTGTGGAAGAAAAACAGGTGGTTCTGGAAAGATGAAGAATCCAGGTGAAAGGGTTTTCACAGCCAGGTTGTGCAATAGAGTCACCTAAAAACCTGTGGTTAGTTAAAACAGGTTGTGTCTTTAAAGACCCTGTGTTATTGTTGGTGTGAATGTAGATGGGTGCAGTCATTGTGGAAAATGGCATGGAGGCTCTGGGGAGATAAAAATGGTACTACTGTGTGACCCAGCAGCTCCTCTTTGGGGTATAAACTGAGGGGAATGAAATTACCACCTTCTGAAGATACCTTAACTCCCATGTTCATTGCAACCTCAGATGAGCAGATCTTCCCAGCCTATTTAAAAAGTCAGGGAGGAAAGAGAGGAGTGATTCATCAGAGCTGTTAGTAATAAGCCTTTAGGAAGCCAGTGACTCAAAACGCAGTAGAGATGGGCCAGCAAGTACACAGACACAGAGGGCTGTTGCCAACCACAGCTCCAGTGCAAGCCTTTATTTGCATTTTCCCACCAGCTAGAGACATGGGGCCTCTTCCTTCCATACCCCCAAGGTCTGTTTCACTGGGCTTACAAGTGGATCTGGGCATCTTTGTGAGTGGTCAAAGGTTGATATTAGAAAAAAGCCAGGAGATACAGTTGGTAACATGCTATTTGGCAAAAGCAGAGGAGCTTCTGCTTAAACCCAATCTGAGTGCTAACTGGTGCTATTCTGGTAAACTGCCAATCATAGTACAAAATGTCCTCAACTGGTCACATGGCCCATGCCTGCCCAATCATGGTACCCATTCAGCCACATAATTTACCCAGGGGTGTGGAAATGGGTCCTGGAATTTCAAGTACAGATGAGAGAGAAATTGTCTTTCCTAGACGTAATAAAAGGAGAAAATCTCAGAATTAAAGCTTAAGAAAAATTTCAACGTGAATAATGGTTTTCAAATAAATCTCTTGTTCTCATTTGATTGATGTATGAATTAACAATTCAAATTTGTTTCAAAATAGTTAAGCCTGGTAAGAATTCAGTGCAGTTGGGCTGGGGATGTGGCTCAAGTGGTAGTGCGCTTGTCTGGCATGTGTGTGGCCTGGGTTCGATCCTCAACACCACATACAAACAAAGATGTGTGTCCGCCAAAAACTAAAAAAGAAATATTAAAATTCTCTCTTTCTTTAAAAAAAAAGAATTCAGTGCAGTTGATCACATTATCTGCCTCAGAATGTATTTAGAAATGAACACAAACTCATCTGAATGAGCTCTGAGCTCCAAGAATAGAGGTGGGAGATAAAGACCCCCATGACTGAGAATCAGTTATTCTTTTCTGCAGTCAGTAGGGACAATGGAGTTTTGACTTCTATGGTGATGAATCAGATTGATAGCAGAATTTGGGTCAGATGTAAACTACTGCCTATGTTCCATTCTTTGGAAGCTCTCAGCTTCTGAGAAGAGGGCAGAGTGGCTGAAGTACTGTGTTGTTGTGGATAAAGACAGAGATCTGACAGGGAGATGCTTCTGAGTGAGTTCTCTGAAATCAGATTACCTGATTTGACTGCCAATTCTACCACATATTAGCTGTGGGACCTTGAGCAATCATACAACCTTCTCTATCACAATTCCACATCTGTAAAACACAGTGATTACCCAATAAAATAGTAACTTACTGACCTGTTTTGGAGATTAAATAAAACTTTTTTGTGCTTAAGAAAATGTCTAGTATTTAATAAATGCTCAATAAATATGAATTGCTGCTTTTTCTCCTTGTC